CTGAGAGCAACCGAACCAGTCGATGCTCCTGAGGCCCATCATGTTACCATAGTAACCGGCTGCAGAGAAGAGGCTGGGTGCTTTATGTTGCCATGGTGACGATGGCTGGAGAGGACAGTTCCACACCTGAGGAGAGAGAGAGTTCCAGCACTGAGTCATTTTGAGTGGTTGCTATGCAATTGTCTAGAGCACTGTTGGTGGTTGCTATGTTGTTCGGGTGTTCTGAGTAGTTGCTATGCAGTTTCTAGGGTGTTCTTGGCAGTTATGTTGTTGCCTGGGTGTTCTTAGAAGTTGCTATATTGTCGCTAGCGTGTTCTGAGTAGTTGCTATGCAGTTGTTAGGTTGTTCTGAGAAGTTGCTATGTTGTTGCTAAGGTGTTCCGAGTAGTTGCTGTGTGGTTGAACAGGTGTTGTATGAGTGGTTGCTATGTTGCTATAGTGTTCTGAGTAGTTACTATGCAGTTGTCTAGAGTATTCTTGGTGGTTGCTGTGTTGTTGCAAGGTTGTTCTGGTGGTTGCTAGGGTGTTTTTGGTGGTTATGTTGTTGCTAGGGTGTCCTGAGTAGTTGCTATGAAGTCGCTAGGGTGTTCTGAGTGGTTGCTATGCAGTTGTCTAGAGTTTTGCAGTCACAGACAGTTTAGGTCTACATCACATTTTGAAAGAATCATCATTTCTTATAATTTTTCCATTAAAAATACGACTATGTGTAGCTTTAGCACTCTCTCTAGTGCCAATACATCCCTATGCCCTAATCCCTTCGAAGCTCTCACTCCGGAGGGTAAACCCTTTCAAGGGATTAGGGCTGTACACTGTCACTGTGAAACAACAAATATCGATTTTTAATCATAATAGCGCAGCCTTCCTGTAGAACACACACATGCATTTAGAGCGATTGTATGAACGGTTTGCTGTGCACGGTCTGTGGCAGACTTTTCTAAGTGTCAGGGCAACAGTTCAACAGACAAGAAGTTAATATTAAGTGAATTAAATTGTAGAGACAATATTGTCTATTTTATTTCCCTAACGAAAATGTTTCCAAACAAAGTTGTACGTTTCTGCAGCGACACACAGCGGCATTTCGTTGAATAAATGACTCTACACCTCATTATGACAGTGGCTTGCTGCCACCTACTGGCAATTTTAGTTTAATATTTTTAAAGGTATTATTCTATTTAATATTTCTATATTCCAAATTGTATATTTAAAACATTAATCTCATAACATTATTTATGCAATTTGTAAGTGCAGTATAAATGCATATACAAGAGCTCCTTAAAAAATTTGTATAGAGCCTGCGTGTTTAATTATACTTGGCTCTTTCAAATACTAAAGCCACTTGGCCAATGTAACTTTTAAACATATTTGATTTGAAGTATATCCCGTGTATTCTGACACATGCATGGATGTCTCTGGGCCAAGCCCCGGATATCCACTCACCCTACAGCCGCTCCTGGTCAAGAGTATTCTTTGTGGTTACTACGCTGCTGCTAGGGTGTTCTGGTGGTTGCTAGGGTGTTTTTGGTGGTTATGTTGTTGCTAGGGTGTCCTGAGTAGTGGTTATGCAGTTGCTATGTGGTTGATAGTGTGTTGTGTATAGTTGCTATGTTGCTAGGGTGTTCCGAGGAGTTGCTCTGTGGTTGCTAGGGTGTTGTGTATAGTTGATATGTTGCTAGGTTGTTCTGAGTAGTTGCTCTGTGGTTGCTAGGGTGTTGTGTATAGTTGATATGTTGTGGATGACTGGTATGTTGTTGCTAGGGTGTTCTGAGTAGTTGCTCTGTGGTTGCTAGGGTGTTGCGTATAGTTGATATGTTGCTAGGGTGTTCTAAGTAGTTGTTCTGTGGGTGCTAGGGTATTGTGGATGATTGGTATGCTGTTTCGAGGGAGTTCCGAGTGGTTGCTAGGGTGTTGTGGATGACTGGCGTGTTGTTGCTAGGGTGCTCCGAGTAGTTGCTCTGTGGTTGCTAGGGTGTTGTGTATAGTTGATATGTTGCTAGGGTGTTTTTAATAGTTGCTCTGTGGTTGCTAGGGTTTTTGGCATGTTGTTGCTAGGGTGTTCTGAGTAGTTTCTCTGTGGTTGCTAGGGTGTTGTGGATGTTTGGCATGTTCTTGCTAGGGTGTTCCGAGTAGTTGCTCTGTGGTTGCTAGGGTGTTGTGTATAGTTGATATGTTGTTAGGGTGTTCAGAGTAGTTGTTCTATGGTTGCTAGGGTGTTATGGATGTTTGGCATGTTGTTGCTAGGGTGTTCTGAGTAGTTGCTCTGTGGTTGCTAGAGTGTTGTGGATGACTGGCATGTTGTTGCTAGGGTGTTCTGACACACATGCTGAACTGAATATTTACTGGTCAAAGTTTCAGCACATGACTAGCAGCTCTAGTACTAGTGATGAGTGACTTAAAGAACAGCACTAACTGAACATGAATACAAGGGTAGTGTTCTTTATCAGCTGAAGCGTGTGAAAGAACAGTGCTCTGACAGACCACAGTGAGCTTGAGTAGTTTGGGTTGAGTCCCCAGATGCTGAGAGCTGTTCCCCGCGGAGCTGAACTGCACTCTCGAGTCCGCTGGCATTTCGCCGTGACGCAGGAGCGCAGCTGTAATTCCCGAGCGCCCACTTTCTCATTCACGCCAGCACCATCATGTGACTCACAATATTCAACAGTGCAATTACCTTCTCTTGGCTTGAGAGAAACAAGACAAAAACCCACACAAAGCTTTGAGTGGCACATTCATACCGTCATGAGGAATGAAATAACAGCCCTGCACACAATTACTCCCATCGCACCGAGAGCATTCGGCATTTACATCCAGCCCTCTCCGACACGAGAGCCGACGCAGTGCATTATGGGTCGTACTCTAAATGCCACTGACTAACTGCATGACACACATGAGCTTTGACTCAAACAAAGGGACGAAAATGAGCGGTGAGGGGAAGCATATGGAGAGGGTGATAGATGAGAAGAATACATCACCATCATCATCAAAACCTTCATCATCATAATCACTTCACTATCATTACAGGAATACTTCATGAATGAAAACGAAAATTCTGTAATCATTCATATGGTGTATCTTTATTTCTGCCTTCTGCCTAGCAAACACATAGCAACCACTCAGAACACCCTAGCAACTGCATAGCAACCACTTAGAACACCTTAGCAACTATAGCATGCAACAAGAACACTCTAGCAATACCAACTACTCAGAACGCCCTAGCAATTGCATAGCAACCACTCAGAACACCCTAGCAACTGCATAGCAACCAGTTAGAACACCTTAGCAACTATAGGATGCAACAAGAACACTCTAGCAATACCAACTACTCAGAACGCCCTAGCAACTGCATAGCAACCACTTAGAACACCTTAGCAACTATAGCATGCAACAAGAACACTCTAGCAATACCAACTACTCAGAACGCCCTAGCAATTGCATAGCAACCACTCAGAACACCCTAGCAACTGCATAGCAACCAGTTAGAACACCTTAGCAACTATAGGATGCAACAAGAACACTCTAGCAATACCAACTACTCAGAACGCCCTAGCAATTGCATAGCAACCACTCAGAACACCCTAGCAACTGCATAGCAACCACTTAGAACACCTTAGCAACTATAGCATGCAACAAGAACACTCTAGCAATACCAACTACTCAGAACGCCCTAGCAATTGCATAGCAACCACTCAGAACACCCTAGCAACTGCATAGCAACCACTTAGAACACCTTAGCAACTATAGCATGCAACAAGAACACTCTAGCAATACCAACTACTCAGAACGCCCTAGCAATTGCATAGCAACCACTCAGAACACCCTAGCAACTGCATAGCAACCACTTAGAACACCTTAGCAACTATAGCATGCAACAAGAACACTCTAGCAATACCAACTACTCAGAACGCCCTAGCAATTGCATAGCAACCACTCAGAACACCCTAGCAACTGCATAGCAACCACTTAGAACACCTTAGCAACTATAGCATGCAACAAGAACACTCTAGCAATACCAACTACTCAGAACGCCCTAGCAACTGCATAGCAACCACTTAGAACACCTTAGCAGCTATAGCATGCAACAAGAACACTCTAGCAATATCAACTACTCAGAACACCCTAGCAACTGCATAGCAACCACTTAGAACACCTTAGCAACTATAGCATGCAACAATTATACTCTAGCAATACCAACTACTCAGAACGCCCTAGCAATTGCATAGCAACCACTCAGAACACCCTAAAAACTTCATAACAACTACTCAGAACACCGTAGCCTGTTTTATCATTAAATGCGATTGACGTAATGAGTCTTGACGATGTCCAGCAGTTCAGGTCGGTTTTCACTCTCTTATATTAATAGAGATCCTGTAAACAAAGGAAATTTAGTTTTATCCGTAATAAGCTCAATATGCCTGCTGTGTCCAAACAGACTCATTTCCTGAAAGAAAGAGCCTAATGCTAATGACCAAATTATAAATAGGTTAGTCATTTGTTTTATTCTGCTGCTGTGTAAAGTTTTGCTCATGAATAGACCAAATGGAAACAGGCCTTTTAGGGAAAATAATTGGAAACTATCTTGATACTGATGATGATAATTAAAATTTACTCATAAAAAGACATTAGGCAAGAAAACAAGACATTTTACTTATTTTCCCTAAACTACCGTCATTAAAGCTGTGTCGTTTGGGGTGTCAGTTTCATGTTCAGAGTCAGTCAATGGTAGTTTGATGCTATCAGAACATTGATCTGTTTGTTTCAGATGCCCAGTATCTCAACTTCTGACTCGACCAATCATGTGAGTTTGGGGCGGGACTGAGATGTTTGACTGACCAATGACAGGTGGAGGGGGAGTGTTCAGGAAACCCAACAGTTATTAATTTTCAGCTCTGTTTGGTGCTGCTAGTAGTGCACACATGATTTTCATTCAGGAAAGTAAAGAACAGACACTGTAATGTTTAGTTATTTTATTTTATTAGAAACGAGACACCTTCGCCTATAGTTCTTAAAATTGTACAATCACAGATTCAGAGATTCAGACAGACATCGGGAACCTCACATGAACGTAGAGACGCGAGGAAGGATATCGGCACACACACAGAGACAAACAGGTTCATAAAACAAGAGACCGTACAGACGACCGAGGGTTCAGTGTCTCAGCAATATGAAGGAATCAAGTAAAAAACTCTAGGGCATTTTCCTGAAGCACAGTCAGATATATCTCTAGGCTATTACTCTGATATCATATTTTTCTTTCCTGAAAGTTCTTTTAGTAGCAAGACAGAACGTCTTGTTTTGTCCTTCTTGCTTAACAGCCAATAGAGTCCATGAACAGTGTTGTCATAAAGGTTTCTATATGCTCTATAAAGATGATATAAAACTCTGAAAATGGTTAAAAAAACTGCCAAAATTCTAATGTCAGTCCTGCTTGGGCATCAAGCATCTGTCCTCATATTGCACTGATGCCAGTCTATTGTTTGGCATAAATACTGCACTGGGAATTTCTCCCGCCGGCGCTGCGGAAGTTCACAGGTGGGCAGGAGCCCATAACGTGTGCTAGGGCTTCGTTCAAAAGGCCGTAGAAAGAGCCGCTGGTGGGAATGGAGGGAACACAGTGGTCTGATCCAATGGAGCGGAGGAGGAAACAACAGCTCGTCCTCAAAGAGTCCAAGGCTACACAGTCACTGCTGCTCCAACTACATTACCCAGAATGCTGAGAATATCAGCTGTTCATGCTGGGATACTTCGTCCTGCTGCTGTTTCGGGAATGAACGGATGGTTTCATACAGTAGTTAAAAATAAACCTCGATGAACACAGGTATGAAGACAAGAGGAGAAACATGATCATAAGAACAAAGAAATAACATTCATAATAATAACTTGTTACAATAACAAGAGGAATCATGGAAAGTAAATGCTCAGCTCTTTATAGTCAAGTATTCAGGACAATTATTTCCCCAAAGTTTGATGGAAGCGTCCAGAAATGCTTAACGCAAAGCATCAAAAACAAAGACCACAGCGTCGGCAGTTCATCTGTGTCCATTTGGCACAGCTAACAACTCTGGAAGGGGCCGCAAAGGGCCAATCTCGAGCAGCCAAGAAAGCGTTCGACCCTCCTGTGGGAAGATTCACCCATTCCAAAATGGAATTGCAGAAAAATGAAAGGGCACAGGCGGGCGTCCACACCACCTCCTGGACCAGATGGAAGCGTGCTGGGAAGAGCTCTCGATGAACCAACCAGGAATCTCTCCTCACATGGAGTTCGGAAAACCTTTCTCCCTGTTTAGACGCCTTCTAATGACTGAGGTCAGTGTCATCTTGAGCTGAGAGCTACTTCTGAAGCCGGAGAGACACATATTCAAATGACAGACAGGTACAGCGCTCCCCTCTCGGGTTCTTCTCTACCTTCTGCCCTCTGCATGCTCATCCCTTCATTTTCTCTCTCTTTCCCAAATCAAAAGCAGACCGAGGTGTTCAGGGTTAAACGCTATGCCCTCACACCTCTGTCTGCAGGTCGATGATATCTTGGCCCACCAGAGGGATGGTCGCTCCGGCCTTCTCCCATTCCACACCCTGGAGATCCAGAGGAGACGCCTGCAATGGCTCCATGTCCTTCCGGACCCAGGTAGGAGGAGACGCCTGTGACCTGCTCATGCTCTCCCAGGACCGATCCATTGCGCCCTGCTGCTTATCCTGGAAAGAGACATCGGGAACAATGTTAGAGACCCTGCAGTTGGGAATGAGAAAACGTCCTTCACATGCAGTCAAAAGATCGAGACACTTACGCTGTGGTTTGTCTTGTCGCTTCCAGCGGAGGAAACGCTCCATCTGACAGACTGCAGAGAGAAGAGAACATTACTCTAAAGACCGAACAAATGAGAGTAAGCGAGGATGGTAAATTATGGCTGCTCTGATCAGTTCCACACATGAGCGTCTAGTTTGGCGGCTCACCTTGCTGTCGGATGCCGGTGACTCCCTGTCCTTCTCAGCATGATGCATCTTCCTATTGAGGTCCTGGAACATGTTCTGATGGCGTTTCCGTGTGTGCATGATTTTCTACATGATAGAGAAGGGAATGGTTAATGCTGCACTGTTATTGATTTAAATTCATGTGACTCTACAGTGGAAAACTCTGTAGTGAGTAATTACCTCAAAATCCAGTTCTGCGTAACGAGATTTCTGCCTCTGTGAGAGTTAAACAGAATGAGCGACAGCAAACTTTAGTATCACGTACATTGCGTAATTCATCAGATGCAGCGTTCAACAAAGAGTAAATGTCGTTTCTTACCCCCTCGCTGACTTCCAAAGAACTCATGGACAAGGTGGAGATGGTTTCACTCTTGGACATCATGGAGTTCATGGAGTCGAAGGTGTCGCCCAGACTGCTGGTCATGTGACTCTCGCTGGAGATGTTGTGGATGTTCTGAATGGGTGAGTCTCGCTCCGAATACGATACGCTGACACGGTCGGCGGGAAGAGTCTTGACGGCATAGGCAGCTTGAGGTTCGGCGTAGGTTCCGCTCAGATGCATGAGACGGGCCTGCGGGAGCTCAGTGCTGATGTTGTATTTGCTGGAGCCGCTGGAGTCGTCCTTGGGTTTGGCACGAAGGGTGGAGGTGGTGTTGGGCAGGAGCACATAACCGCTGCCATCCGAACAGACGCTCTCGGCCTGAGCGAGGGCCAGATCAACATCCAGCTGCTTGAAGAGCTCGCTGTCACACACGTACACAGGTTTGCCACAGGATGGGTCGACTCCGTGACCTTTCTCTCTCCGCAGGGTGAGCGTGTGGCTGGAGTACTCAGGGACGGGGGGAATGTGGCTCTTTCCGCTGGGGTTGGATGGAAGGGTGTGGAAGTTTGGGCCGAGGGGCAGGGACATCTGTGGAGGGGGCATCTTCTCCTCGGTGGAGCTCTTCATTCCACCTGAAGGGAGGCAAAGAGGCAGGTCAGATCATGAGGCATGGATAAGCCTTGGATAAGCCTCCCTAGTTTCTTATTACCAAACATAAGAACACGTCAAGTTTCATGCCTTATGGCAGGGGTGTCCAATCCTGCTCCTGGAGGGCCAATGTCCTGCATAGTTTAGCTTCTAGTTTCTAGTAATCCTGAAAACCTTGATTAGCTGATTCAGCTGTGTTTAATTATGATTGTAGCTAAACTCTCCAGGAACAGGTTTGGACACCTCCGCTCTATGGTAATATGAATGCGGCGATCTTTTGTTTATATGCTCACCTGGTCGGTTTGAGTCGGCGTCCTTCTCAAAGTCAGACTGCACACAGGAAAAAATAAATATGATTTATAAATGCCATTGTTAAAATGTAAAATGCAAGAGAATACTTGCATGTAGACTCACCACAAGCTGCGTGTGGCCGTTCTGCAGGGAGCTGCCGGAATCGCCATTCCCATCGTCTTTGCGGTCCACCACACGGCATTTCACCGCATCTTGAACCTGAAATACACACATCTATGAGCTCTGGCACACACAAAAGACACGTTAAACGCACACGTGCTTCGATTGTGAACGTACTGACCTCTCTGCGCAGGATGCAGTGCACCATGACAATGATGAATCCCTCCAGAGAATCGAAGACTGCGAAGAGGATCTGGAACAATGCGGAGCGGCGGTCCGTCATGGCCAACACGGCAGACATCCACGTTAGCGCGAGAAGAGGGAGAACCACACAGGAGCTCCACAGCGACGCCCTGCAGGACAGTGCATTTAATACAACTTGCTCCACACTCTTCAATGTGACTGGCGTTTAATTGGGTGTGTACAGTATTTCTTACCCAGCCCTCTCTTTCAGCTTAACATCTGTGATGCCATCCTTGGACACAAGCTTGTTGAAAACCAGAATTCCAATCACCATGTTGACCTGAAAACACACAAAGAGACGTCAGTGAATGCTCAACACTGCACATGCTGTCGATCATGCAGTGTCCAAGAGCGGCTCCTCACCAGAACGACAGCAGCGGCCGGACCCACGAACGAGTACAAGAGTCCGCCTTCAAGAGACAACCAACAGCTGTGCAGAAAGAAGAAGAAACACCAGTGTTAAACTCACAAAGACACAGATGGAAAGAGAAAGATGGGAAACAAGATGGGAAATACTCACTAGTTGACGGTGCCGTAACCTTTGGCTTTGGTGAAGCCGACCGAAATGGCGACGACTAAAGCGGGCAGACCTGAGAGAGAATCCAGAGAGAGTTAAACACCCCATCACACGAGACATGCAACACTCTCCAGAATTAACAACCAGTGTTGGGGAAAGAAGTAATGCATCACAATATTGCGTTCCTCCCTAAAAAAGTAACTTATTATGTTACTTAGTTACTTTTTATGGAAAGTAATGCGTTACATTACTTTTGAGTTACTTTTTAAATCTGGGCAGGGCTTGCTTGTTTGTTTTTAATATTAAAAGTTCTTCTTTTACAAACGTAAAAGCCCTTTCATCCAAAGGTGAAGTGAATGCGCCTCAAGCTGAAGGAAATGTAAATTCACGTCTGTACAGTAGAGGGCGCCGCTCAAACTAATCACATGAAGAATATGACGCAGGAGAAGAAAGTTCAACGCTATTCAGTAATAACAAAAATAAAACACAAATGTGTCTCTTTTGCTTATTAGTATGGTTGAATTGGATCATCAAAGGTCAGTTTTACTTAAAAAAGTAACCTGATTAAGTAGCTCGCATTACTTATAATGAGTTACCCCCAAGACTGTCAACAGCAGCACACACACTCACCCCATCCCAGACACAAGAAGCGTTTGCGGATGATGCGGTTACGCAGGCGGCCCGTGACGGCCATGTAGGACTGCCACGCCTCCGTCAGGACCCAACAGAACGAGGACAGGAAGAAGAAATGCAGGAGCGCCGCCACCAAGGCACACATAACCTGCGAGAGACAGACGGAACGAGAGGTGAGCCGTTGGTCATCGGAGCTGACGTGAGCTGCGAATGGTCAGCTTCAGGCTCGGGTTAATACCTTGTTGCGTGCTTGCGTCTGACTGATCAGAATGAGGGCGTTGGAGCAGATGATTGACAGACAGAAGTTGATCAGGATCACTGAGCGCTCAGAACGGATGTACCTGAGAAGAAGAGAGAAAAAAAAACCAATTAATCAAATTCAATCAACCAAACCAGGGGTTTTCAGATTGGGGTCTGAGAAAAAGTTTAGAGATATATATCCATATTTAAATATTTTAGTACGGAAATAGATAGAAATAAAAACAAATTATTCTAACAAAATAGATACAATACAGAATTTGACACAATTGTTAATTCTGGTCTCTAATGATGAGATTAATGGCTTTTTAGTTCGTAAAATTTTATGTTTTGGTCACACTTTATTTTAAGGTCAAATTCAAATGCTTTATACGTACAAATAATCAGCCAATATACTAACAATATGCATGCTAGTTAATACTGTAAACGTTCTTAAAGTGCAACCAAAATACACATACTTCTAGACTTATTTTAACGTATAAATGTAAAAATACACAGTTAGGTAGTGAACATCTAATTTATGGGTTCATGACGTCAAAACATTTGCAATGCAACCTTTTTGATGCAACCAATTAATAAACCACACATCAATTAAATCAATCATATCAATCAAGCAGTAAATCAAGCATTATGATAAGTTTCTTACTTCCACACAGAGACGTAGATGATGAGGAGGAGGAGGAGGGTGAGGGACGACACCCCGCATCCCACAAGCATCGTAACCGACGGCAACAGAGACTTATCCATGTTCTGTGAAGAAACACGGTACCATTAGTGTCAATGCACACACACACACACACACAGCTCCCTCTGGACGGAATGACTGGAAGAAACAGGGCAGCTGATGTGAAGGAGACGTGAAGGTGAGAGAGACGCTCCACATTCCTTCACTGCTGCTCCACTTTAGCACAGTTAAACGACGGCAGGTGTGTGTGTGTGTGTGTGTGTGTGTCCTGCAGGTGGACAATTTTCACCTCTGAAATTATTAGTGTAACACACTTCACACACTACATTGTGAGTGTGTTATATTATGCGCTGCTTTCCCCCTTCATTTGCCCTTGCAGAATGAAACGCACCATCATATTTCCTCTCAAAAGACACACACACACACACACACACACACACACTGAAGGCATGTAACAGGTCTTTTAAACCCGCTTGCACTGCGCGACGCGACACGTCCAAACAGTGTATGTGATTATAAATGGAGGCGTTGTGTTTGGACGCGTCGCGTCGCGCTGCAGTGCAGGGCTGTTTTTCCCCTCTGATGCTGATAACTACAGCGCGGGGCTGCGGATGCGGTTGTCATGGCAACTGCTTCTGCACCAAAAAGATCAAAAACAACGATCACACGAACGCATTAAAGCACCGAACAAATACGTGCATGAAAACAATCGGATCCATCATCGATCATCAGATTCACAACACCGCATCATCTCTATTAGCTATCAATCAATCCATCGATAGATAAAGATCGAACTCACGCTAAAAGACGATCAGATCCGATCACCCGATGATCGATGATGAACGAGGCTGCGATAAACGCTTCATTTTCACACACACACACACACACACACACTCACTCACTCACTCACACACACACACTCACACACACACACACACACGGTGATCGGACTCTTACCAGATCGGGGTTCGGTCTTGCGATCACGGCGAAGGTGGACAGTCCGTCACACACGCATGCGGTGCTGGAGTCGCGCGCCACCGATCTGCAGCCGCGCGCGGACCAGGAGCCGAGCAGAGACGCGCTGCACACACACACACACACACACATAAGAGTTAGATACACTGTCAAATAAACCCCGCACACACACACTCAGCTCATCCAGACTCACACACACACACACTCTCCAGACCACAGTACAGTGATGCTCTCAGTTGTTGCTCTTTTCACATGCAACTGCACGTATTTCTATCATGGTATCTTGTCCAAATGCTTCTTTGATTTTATAATAAAAATAAAGGCTCTTTGTATTGGAAAAAGGTTGTTCTGTTTATTAAAATCAGACTAAGAAAAAATGCTTCTTTTCAGAATTGATCACTGAAAGGTTCTTTCATTAAATCACTGCAAAAAAAGAAATCTTAGTCTGAAAGGCAGTAAATTATTCCTCATGCATAATGTCATTTTGATTATTTTTAGTGGCATTACTGGCCTTTTATTTATTTACTTTCCTTTCTGTCAGGATTTGTGCATTACTTGTGTTAGTATAGTTAGTATTACTATTAGTATCCGTGTGCGTGTGTGTGTGTGTGTGTGTGTGCGTGTGTGCATGCGTGTGTGTGTGTGTGAGAGAGAGTGCATG